TATCGCCGGGGATTCGACGTCATGGTCAAGACTTGAAGAGCTCGACCCATTGACGTTCACGGACTTCCACTGGATGCCCGTTCCCTCGACCGGACGATTGCCGAAACCGCATTGCAATGTGCTCATGGCACAACTGCGGGAGTACTTGCACACTGCAGTACCAGCTCCGTTGATGGACGTCGKAGCAGAGGTTGTCGACCTTCACGCCTACATCGCGAAGATCGACCGCGAGTTCAAGACGCAGCGGTACGACGACATCGACGCACCGTTACTTCACATCCGCATTCAGATTGGACAGGCGACCTGCAGCGCACTAATCGATTGCGGAGCGACTSGCAACTACATCAGCCAGGACTTCATGGAGCGCGCCGGCCTTGGCCCACGCGTCCGGAGGAAGTCCCAGCCTACGCAAGTCACGTTAGCGGACGGACGCACGCACAAGTCCATTGACCGGTGCGTAGACAACGTCCCAGTGTACTTTGCCCCTCACGCCAGTGAGGAGGTGTCCTTCGACATACTGGACACCAAATTCGRCATGATCTTGGGCATGTCATGGCTGCGAAGTGAGGACCACCCAGTGAACTTCTACCGCCGCACCGTTCACATTCGTRATCGGAACGGAGTACTAGTCCCATGCACGGTGCCGCTTCCTCATTCTTCTATCAGCTGTCACGTGRTATCCGCCGCAAGCATGCGAGCTTCCATCATCAGAGACGACATTGAGGAGATGGGGGTATGTTTTCTCCACGCCCTCCCGCCCCATGACGCTTCACCGACGGACTCTTCTTCGGATCCACGCATCACCGAGCTTCTCGACGCCTACAGCGACGTGTTCGAAGGCCCGCACGGAGTAGTACCGGATCGACCCATCCGCCACGAGATTATCCTCGARGAAGGGGCCGTACCTCCACGCGGTTGCATCTACCGAATGAGCGAGGAAGAGTTAAGTGTGCTTCGTGCACAACTCGACGACCTGCTAGAGAAAGGCTGGATACGGCCTAGGGGTGCTCCTGTTCTCTTCGTCCGAAAGAAGAACAAGGACCTGCGGTTGTGCATCGATTATCGCAAGCTCAACGCGCAAACGGTCAAGAACGTCGGCCCTCTCCCTCGCATTGACGATCTTCTGGAAAGATTGGGTGGCGCCAAGTTTTTCTCCAAACTGGACCTCAAGTCAGGCTATCACCAACTCGAGATTCGGCAAGAGGACCGTTACAAGACCGCATTCAAGACGCGGTATGGGCATTTCGAATGGCTGGTYATGCCATTTGGCCTTACGAATGCCCCAGCCACCTTCCAAGCGGCTATGACGGCGGAGTTCCGACACATGCTCGATAGGTTCGTACTCATCTACCTCGACGACATCTTGGTGTACAGTCGAAGTTTGGAGGAGCACGTGGAGCACCTGCGCACCGTTTTGGAGCGGCTACGACAAGCCAAGTACAAGGCCAACCGCGATAAGTGTGAATTCGCGCGGCAGGAACTCGAGTACTTGGGCCACTATGTGACGCCGCAAGGCATCCGTCCG